GACCTTCGTCTCTCTTTCGGTAGCGCCCGGCAGATGATGGGTTTCAATGTTTGTTGAGACAGCTACTGTTACTTTATTAATATAATTGGCCGGCTGCACATCATCTTCTGGAGCAACTTCATTTCATCATCTGGACAAGCCAGCCAACCAACCACGCCTAACCACGAAGCATCTAGAACCCAGTCCCCATTAGCAAAGCATGACCGTGAGCATGGGCCTGAACGTGGCGACGCATGACGAAAGGCAGCAGCCCATATAAGGTAGGGCTGATTCATATGGTGCATCGTCTGTTCAAACTGTTTTAAGCGGAACTTCGCGTTAATTAGAAACGGAGAGTGCCGGAGTAACATTTTCTATATTCTACGATCGCGTGTGCAGGTAAGTCTGCAGTTTTTGCAAACGTTGCACCATATTAATTAGCCCAAGTAACCACAGGGACGCCAGGTTAGTGAATTTGTTTTTTTAGTTACATAATAATTCGGTTCGGTTATCAACTCGGCTTTTTTCCGATTTCGATTCGACTTTCGGTCTGCGAATTTATCTTCAAACGGCTAAAGGCTTGGTATCGACAATGTTTCGATAGCAGCCACTGTTTATCCCTGCGTACGGTCCGGGGGGGACCCTGGAGTGTCTCATTCGAAATGTCACATTTTAAGGACATATGGACATTCCTCGGTTTCAACTGGACCCTAAATTTTTCTCGTAGGAGCGCGCCCTTTATTGAAGTAATTAATCATCCTTTGTAACTGATACATGTGATTCAATAAAAGAAACAAATGGCTTTTGTGTTGTTGGTGTGTGTTTTTTCTATTAAACATAAGCACTAATACCTTTCTTAGTACTAAAACTGTATTTAGTAATAGTGACGGTAGAAATTTGCGTGAATAAAGTAAAACATAAAACACGCGCAGTTGTCAGAGTCTTTTTTCTAGCTTATTTTTAAGGCTTCATAGTTAAGTAGATGAACTACTAATGTTTTTGTTTCAGCAATACGAATCGGCATCACTACTTTGTAACCGCTACATGGAATTCAATAAAAGAAACAAAATTTTTTTGTGTTGTTGGTGTGTTTTATCCGTTAAGCATTCACTAGTAACTTTCTTAGTGCTAAAACTGTATTTAATAATAGTTGGAAGCCATAGCATGAATAAAGTAAAACAAAAAACTCGCGCAGTTGTCAGTCTTTTTTTACAGCTTATTTTTAAGGATTCGTAGCTAAGTAGATAAATTACTAATGTTTTTGTTTCAGCAACCTCGAACGACAACGAATCGGCATCTTTACTTTGTAACGCTACATGGAAATCAATAAAAGAAATAAAATCTTTTGTGTTGGTAGTGTCTTTTTCCTAATCAGGATTTACTAACAACTTTCTTAGTACTAAAGCTGTATTTAATGATAGTTGAAAAAAATAGCATCAATAAAATGAAACAAAAAACGCACGAAGTTGTCAGAGTCCTTTTTTATAGCCTTTCTTAAAGGTTTTATAGGTAAATAGATAAAGTACTAACGCTTTTATTTCAGCAACCTCCAACATCAAGGTTTTTTCTCTTTTTTACTTCCGGCTATGTTTTTGGAACGAGGAGCGTATAAAGAATACGTCTTTGAGGGTGCGCCCAGTCAACATCGAGTACTGCTTTGGCGGCCAGCGTTCTTGAAGAAACACTTCAAACCACTGGAATCCGAATGAAATAAGAGTTCATCTACTCTAAGTTAGCCAGATGATTTGTACCTAGTCAGTAATGTGGTTGCACTTTAATGATCAATAAAGTTGTTTTACTATTGCGTTTCAGTGTCTTGTCTTGTAAAACCGCACAAAGTAAGTCTAATATCTACTAAATTACAGGTAAAGAGATTATCAGAGTATTATTTTTGCGCTGAAACATGTGCATATTATTGTAATATGTTGTCCTTTTTCATCAATAAAGTTGCAAGCACACAATGATCTGTTCAGTGTTATGATTTTCTACTAACCTACTATAAAACCTAGAAAGTTATATTTCAGGAGCATGAAACGCGACCTTTTTTGACAATTTTTTTCGGAGAATAAATGGAGGAGAGCTCTATACTGGGCGCGCCCTGTTCAAGAAATGCAAGACATCATTTTCTGGCGTCTTCTGTTCAAGATGTCACTTTTTTAACCACATTTTGGAGTCCATTGGAGCGATTCAGACCTGGAAGAAAGATTTCACGTTCTTCTAAAGGTAACGCAAATGCTACGTATTTGAAGCTATTTTAATGTCCCAGTTTGTATTTTTGTAGTTTCCAGGTCACACAAGCAGCAGTTGAGAGAAATGAGTACGCGGGCCTTTTGCATATTGATAGCTGAAAAGAGACCAAGGCATGTACCGTAAGTAGTTAAGAAATCTTACATTTTCACAGCACAGAAAGACTGAAAAAGTTTCAAGCTAAATATTTGTCAAAATGAAGGAACTAAACTGTCCATTATGTGCATATGAAATCCATCCACAGACGAGGTGCTGGACCATACTTTGACCGCGGTATTGCAACTTGTATACAGACATATGTTCTTTCCCCACATTTCTTGTCATTATTTCATTTCATACTAATCAATGTCTTGGAAGCTGTTGTTTATTTAAGCAGGCAAGGTGTTACAGAGGTTCAGACTGAGATGCCCTCGTTAACGTGATTTAAAGCAGTAGCCTTGACTTGCTCTCTGGTAAGTGTACTTATTACAAACAAGAGAAATTTTAAAAAACTAATCCATATGTCACCATCTGTCGAACGCAAACGAGAGAAAAAGGAGAGAAGTTTATCACTAAGGTTGTGCATCGCAAATCACGCAAACTGAATTTGAATTTTGTTTTAGTCTAGTCAGGAAATCCCAGATGTTTTAGCAGACCCGGGGGTCCTCCCTGTAATGGCTATGGGGGTAGGCTCCGCCGGAAAGGGATGCCTTTTCAGGTTTTATGTATATGAAAGGGGTCGGAACTCTGTCATTTCGGTCTGTAAAATGGCTCAACAGGGTTAAAAGATGCATTTCATGGCTGTGAAAAAGTCCAGAAACTTCGAAGAGTGCATTTACAGCAGTTAAAATTGATACAAAGTTCTAATCAAGATGTGTGAGGAGAGCACCATTTTTCAATAGAGGGTATGCTGAAGGGGTACTTTGTGCCAAAAATGGTATTTCAAAGGGTAAGGGGGTCGGACCTAGGGGCGGAACCTCCCAGTTTTAAAATTTGTTGAGTACCCTCCCCCCCCCCCCCCCCCTCGGGATAGTAACTAACAAAGTGGACTTTCATCTAGGGCAGTAACAAGTTTCTATTAATTGAGCTTACCTTCTGATAACCTCATCCAATGTTTTCTCTCCTTTATTTTTTTCAGCGTACCAAAACATCAGATTGTATTCAACAGCCAGACCAACAGAGCAGGACGGACCATTTTGCACAGACTTACCAACAGACCAGACAACTTTCTCTTAGCAGACCACCATACAGTCCTGATCATTTTCATGTTGGCATGACTACCAGACCAGACCATACATATCCACAGACCACCATTCTACAAGACCAGCTCATACAAGGTAGGGTTGATTCTTATGGTGCATCGTCTGTTTAAAGCTGTTATCAATAACATCGCTGCATTAAGGCAGGAGCAAATAGCAACCTTTCAGCTATATTTCATGAACGTGCTTGTGAGATAAGTGAGCAGTTTTCACAAACGTTGCACCATATCAATCAGCCCGAGTTTACAGCAGGACATCAGGTTAGTGAAATTTGTTTTTCTTGTTTAATTTAATTTCCGATTTTAATTTGGCTTTCGATTTGTCTCCAAATTAAGTTTTAAACGGCTACAGGCTTGGTATCGACAGTGTTTCGATAGCAGGCCGCTACTGAGCCCTTCATACGGTCTGGGGAACTCTGGGTTGTCTTATTCGTAGCGTCCCGTATGGACATATGGACATATGGACATTCTTCGGTCTCGATTTCTTGTAGGAGCGCGTCCTTTATTTAAGTAATTAATTTTTCTCTTTGTAACTGGTACGTACATGGAATTCAATAAAAGAAACAAATACTTTTGTATTATTGGTGTGTTTTTTTTTAAAAAGCCCCGAAATTTTTCCGTTGGGAGCGCTTTAATTATTCGACTAGCTAAATATTTAACCTCTGTAACTGCAACAATTCAATAAAAGAAAAAACCTCTTTGTTGCCGGTGTGTTGTTTTTCTAATAAGTAGTTACTGATAACTCTCTTAGGTCAAGCTGTATTTAAAAATACTTAAAATAAATAGCATCAATAAAAGTAAAACAAAATATCCACGGTTGTCAGTGTCTTTTCTTATACATTAGCCTAATCTGAGCTTTTTTAAGCCACTATGTAATTTACTAATGCAATTTGATTTCAGCAACCTCGAACACCAGCGTTTTTTCCTTTTTTGTACTTCCGATCGTCTTTTTCGAGCGAAAAATAAAGAATACTTCTTTAAGGGGTGCGTCCGGTCAACATCGAGTTTTGCTTTGTCTGCGTTCCTGAAGAAACGCTCTCTACTGACTGCGACTGAAGCAGAAGATCATGTACTAGAAGAGCATCCACGTGAATTGTACTTAATTATAATGTAATTGTACTTTGATGAACAATAAAGTTGTTTGAATGTTTAAACAAAAGGTGTTTGGCATTTTGTTGCTTTCTTATAATTTAAGTACAAATACTTTAATAAAACTGACGCAAGCGCTTGGAAGTTTTGCGCTTCATTTTGCGCTAGTTAATGTAATAACTTGAACTTTGTGATCAATAAAATTAAAAAAATATAAACGGAGGATCCATGAGTCGCTTTTTTTATACTAACGCAACATAATATCTAGAAAGTTGTATTTCAGGAACATGGGACGCGAACTTTTTTCTTTTTATTTTCTGCCATCGCTTTTCGGAGAATTAATGGAAGACACCTTTTTTACCGGGCGCGCCCTTTCGATGAACTTGCAAGACACTATTTTTTTGGCTCTGAGAAGAACGTACAAGACACCGGCGTTTTTTTTCAAGATGCTACTTTATTTTCTAACACTTTGGGTGTGTTAATTCAAGAAAGGCTTGGGGCCAGATTTGGACTGAACAAAGAGTTCAAGTGCCGAAGGTAAGAGTCATGGATATGTCGATCAAGGTATTTTAACGTTCCAGATTGTTTTATATGTTTTAGGTCACACGCCATAAGGGGTCAGTGAGTGCAACCGCCCACAATGTTCAGAAGTGACAAGAGAGTAAAGAAAATTGCGTACGTACCGTAAGTACAAAAGAATTAGGTATCCTGCAAATTACAAAGAAATTACATTACCATTCACCAAAGCTAAAACGAGTTTCAAGCTTGTTATGTTTCCCGGATACTCCCAACGCTTGAAAACGACTCGCCGACGAGTGAATGGATCGTGATTGGACCATAGTTATTCCAGTTACAACGCCGACGTACTAGACTTGTTTCGCTAATCAATCTTCAGTTTATACTAATCAATTGCCTTGTAAGCTGTCATTTCATTGAAAACAGGTGGAATACTCTAGAAAACACTCGAGATTCCTTAAGGTGGCGAGAGGCGATTACAAGAATCAAGGCCTTTGACTTTTGTTCAGTGGTTTCTGGTAAGTCTTTAAGTTTGTCAGTGGAATAAAGCCACGTCGAACAAGACAGAAGCAACAGAAAGGCCTTCATTACAATGGCTTCAATTATCATTCAGTTTTCGCAGAAGTATTTCACTCAGATCAGAAAATCCAAATTGTCTTAGCAGTGCAATGAAGTTTATCTCTGTAGTAAGAGATCTGGAACTGCTCACATGATTCCCGTTTTAAAAGAGCATTTAAAACTAAAAAAATTCCAAACGTTTCTCTTTAAAGCATGTTTTAATCCAGTAGTTTTGTTGCTTTTGGCAGCATTTTCCATATATTTTTTCCGAGAACCTAATTGGAATTCTCGGTGCCGGTGATTTGAATGTATTGAATTCTCAAAGACAGCCAAAGTGAAAAATGTCACAAAAGTTCCAGATTTTCTGGGGGTAAAATAATAAGATTTGAATAGAACTATTCGAAAGTTCTGCTTAGGGAGGTTTCATTTGGATGGCAACATCGGAGGATTTCTCCCAAATGTTAAAACGTTAGAGTGAAAAATCATACATCTCGCCATAACTTAGTCTTGTAGCGACAGGAAATCTTTTCAATGATTTTCATGGGGAACGGAAACAATCGCTTGCATTGTCTCAACGCCTCTTGTTTTCTAGAACTCTTTTACTTAGTCTACTTAGGTCACCCCAAGGAGTACAGGAGCTCAGAAAGCTGTCAAGAAGTCTCCACTTGTGATCCATGGGACATTAAAGGAGGCCTCAAAGCAGAGGTATGTACGAGATAGAAAAGTAATCACTCTTGAATGGTGATAGAAACGCAAGAATAGTGGATGAGAAAGACTACAATCCTAATAAAGAGTGCATGGAAAATACATTTGTATTAAAAAGGACAAGTGCAAACAAACAAAAGAAGAAAACGTTAAGATGAAAAGGACATGTCAAAGAACAACATACGGAAATTACCCATTTTTTAAAATTTTAAAATGCTTCGACGGGACTCCATTTTAACCCCAGTTGTAAACTGAGATTTGGACTGCCAGCCCTTAAATGTGTTTCGCAGATAAGGATTATCACGACGACATAAGTGGAGCAGGAATAAAATTGCAACGAAATCAAAGAAAAGACAAAAAATGATTACAAATATCGTCCAATGAAAGTTTTTCCGATGAAAAGGGATTTATTTAAAACTGATGTTTTTTGTTTGTTTGTATGTTTCAACAGCTACAAAGGAAGGAGCAAACCGCCTTGACTGCGCATGACTGAAACTGTTAAAAGGAATGACCAGATCGAGATGGAACGAACATTCAAGTCTTTCATTCAAGTCTGAACTTTTAGAAAGTCGGTCATTTTTTTCCGTGTAAGCAGAAAAAAAAAAGAAACAAGACACGTTTAATTCGAAAAATGGAAAATTGCAATTTCGTAGGAACTAAGAGTTTGCTAAAACGTGAAATCGCGAAGAAAATGGGTCATCGCAAAACACAAAATTTTCTTAATGCCACGATGTATGGTGCGCGTTTAGTTCCCCATATAGGATCAGTGTCCTTAACCAGCCATTTTCTCTAAAATTCTAAAAATGTAGTTGAAAATGTAATAAAATGTTCATGGAAATGAAAACTAGAATAGCCGCAGCTTCACTGATTTAAGTTGATTTGTAACTTGTAATAAATCAGTTACCTCAACGGAAACAAGATGTGCTCGTAACTTTCAATACAGGCATTCGCCGGATGTTTAGATCGACTAATCTGGAACCTCCGAACTAACTAATGCTTGCACAACCTAACGCTTACAATAACCAGCTGTAACCGTCTAACCGCTAAATTTCAGGGGTTCCAGATTACTTTGGTAAAAATCATTTTGGTGGGATTAAAAAAAATAGCGTTTATGCTGGACTGTGGGATGTATGAAAACATGAGTCTTTCCGTTGAGTTAGTGTAGCTTATGTCTTCGAGAGATAGTCTTGATCATGGCTTGTATTAGAAATTATTTAGGATCGGGACCGTGTAACGTCGAATACAAAGTCACCTGGCATCTTTAGAACTTGCACTCGCTTTGAAAGCCTTTTAAGAAAATGAAAAAGGTCTTATGCGAATTAAATGGTGATAATAACACTTAGGACTTGTCGTGACAAAACTGAGTTTTAGTGTGAAATTGATGGGTAGTGTAAAAAGACAAATAAAAAGTATCTTTTGCTGGAACTTGTGGCATCAGTAAATAATTCAATAAATTTCAGTTACTTAATGCTTGGTTTGTCTCGTTGAGTGTGATGAATGTTGTCTAGTGAAGCCCTGTTCACAACAAAAAATGTTATGAAAATGTTCTCCTTTACAAGGCTCCTGACTCCCCTTTGCCTGATCGCAAGTTTATACTCGGCAAATTTGACGTTTTTCCTCGCGCGTCAGACTAGAAATGACTCTAAAGGTGGATTTCCACTGTCGTGTTATTTTTACGTATTGCAGGTAAATTTTACGGGTGTAAATAGCATAGAGCTAATACATGGAAGGTCGCGCGAGAACGTAAAATTTGAACTTCGCTCAACTTTGTTTAAAAGGAGCTGTGTCACGGCCGTCCAGTTCATTCTGTTTAATCTTGCCAATTACTCGTCCTCAGTCGCTATGGAACTTGAAGTAAGCAAAGAAATTACATGTAAATGACAAAATCAGAGATCCGAGGCAAACAAATATGTCTCCTGAGCATTATTTTTGAACTTGTAAGCACCAGAGATCAACTTTCAGGGGCACCCAACCACAATTTTCCGAAAAATATCTGTTCGGAAGACGATTTGAGATCTGAATTTTCGGAACATTTGTTGTAAAATTTCTTGCTACCCTGCCTCTCCTAGGATTTTCCAACATCTAAAAAATGGTAAAATCGCCCATTTTCAACGGATTTTTACCCTAAAAAGGTCACCTAGAATTTTCGGGAGCCTTTTTTCTGGCTGAAATTTTCGAACAGGTAAGTTTTGATCCCTATAATTTTCGGATCACTAGACTTTCAGCTAGGAAATCCGAACAGATGAAAAATTTATAGGGGAAAAAAGTATGCCCATATGGACCGTTTAAATACTAAAACACGTTTAACAATGCTATGTTTAAGTGGTTTTGAACTATATTCTCGTTGGGTGCCCCTGAACTTTGAAAAACTGTTAGGCTGAACAGTTTTCAAAAACCCGAATTTCAGTCCGTTTCAGTCTTCAGTTTTGCCCATCCGTGGCATCTGTTGTTTCTTTTATGTTATTTTAAACTTCCTTTAAAGTTTTAAGCGGTTATTTTTGTTTCTCTTAATTTAACGGACATTTTGTAATTTCCTAATTTGGCTGAATTTCGTGACACAGCTCCTTCAAATACGCGCGGTCTTTCATACATTGTCGCTATATTATTTACCCGCATAAAAATTACGCAACAGTTGAAATCCACACTAGAAAGAGCGGGGACATCGGGGAAATCACGATAACTATATACAATCACGGACAAAAGTAGTTGGGAAGGTTGTACAACTAAACAGTAGTTCAGTTTTCTCCGTTACTAAATATCCCCCGTCCCGCTATTCAATAGAGAGTTTGAGATTCGAGGACGACATTTAATTTTAAGTTTTATCGCCTGTTGTCTAAAAATAGACCCCTGGAAATCTTCATTGTACCTTTTTTCACCACAAAAGTTAGCACGCTTATTTCCGTTGGAGGAGGTTAAGCCCCATCCCGATCGCTAAATGATAAAATTTCTTACATTCGATAACTTCAAGTTGTTTTCGCCACTACGACATTAGAGACCTTTAGATTCTATAGGACGATTCCGAGTACGAGATTTGACTTGAAGTTTCTTCGCGTATTCTCAAAATATAGACTCCCCGGAAAGCTTCATTCTACCACTAGAAAAGTTAGCGTTGTTATCTTTACTTTAGCAGGTTACGCGCTCTCCCTGGCCCAGTTGTTCGAAGACCTATTAGCGCTTAACCCGGAGTTAAATTTAACCCTGGTTTATTTTTCTTGGGTTCAAAAGCATTTTCTCAGATAATTTTTTCTGTTTTTTTTAGAACTTCTAGTCATCAAATTGTACACAAAAAGAATTAAAACTGAAATGCTTTTTAAGCTTTCAAATCTGAATTCAAATCTCGCACTAACCCTGGGTTAACTTAACCCAGCTTCGAACGACTCGACCCCGTTCGCAAAATGATAAAACTTCTAACACTATACTTAGTATTGAGAAAATCTCGTACTTGTAGTCGTACTCTTCTTAGAATATATTCTCGCTAAAACTCTTAGCAGACTGACGACGGCTACCACATTTTCCCGCCAAAATGACGTTGGGTCGAGCGCGCCCACTACTTAGTATTGAGAAAATCTCGTTCACACAGTCGTCCTCGTCTTAGAATCTAAAAAGCTCTCTATTGCTGGGATATAACAGAAACAATTCCGCGCACAAACATTTATGTTTTGCTCAACATTGGGCCAGGGTCAGGGCAGGAAGGAAAAAGAGGTAAGAAGTAGCAGCTTTCCCAACACTTTTGACCATGATTGTAGGTATAGGAATTCGGAAACCACACAACACACACAACCATGTGAAAAAATTTTATTCCTTAGGGGAGAATTCGTTCTGTCACGTTACCATGGATTTCAACAAACCGTGGTCCTTCAAATATAACAGAAAAAAAAAACGAAGAAATTGACATGTATGACTTTACTGTAAATGATTGCACTCAGAAACAAAACGGTAGTCCATACTATTCTTTCATCATTCGACAGTGCAAAAGACTGTCCCCGTCAAGAAAGATTGTCGAGATTCAGAAATTTTGCTTCCATAGTAACGTGACGTCACACTTCTCCTCTTGCCCTAGCTATTTCATACTTGCTTAGGCCATCCCAATAAAATGTTTCGTTTCCCATCGTCCTCCCTCTCGTGAAGGTGGGTCGGTCGGTTGGGCAAAAAAAAAAAAAGAATGAACACATGATTGCATATTAAATCTCACGTTTAGTCTGCAAGATATAATCAGGTGGTACAAGATGTATATTAACAGGACTATCAAATGTCCAAAAAGGCTACAAAAACGAAGTATCGATGATAATTTAAGACAATTGGTGTTAATAAGACAACATAGTGTGCTTGTAAATTAAAGTACTTGCTTCTTTACAAGTGATTCTGGATTTTTTTTACTTTTCCAAAAAAACGGGTCGGTCGGGCGATGGGAAACGAAGCATTAAATTGGGATGGCCTTAAAGGTACGTGGACATGTGCAAATAAAAGCTATCAATTACGTTTGTTCAGATTCGTTTTCTCGGAAAATGTTCTCTGTTCATTTTAGAGCAATCAACCATCCAATTTTTGACAAAAAGAATTTAACTGAATTTGCTTTTTAAAAGAAAGCGTAAAAGCTCTAATATCTGAATCCAAATTTGACGCACTAATCTTAACCCAGCCTTGAACGACTCAGAGCTGGTTTTAAAGTGTAACCGATTGAATAAAAATCAACTTCAAAAGATTTTCATTGGCAAGGTTATTCAAATAGCCGCCAGCTGGTGCGAGGTATGGACCCGAGGATTTTGTGCGCGGTGAGAGACAGAAGCAAAGTCCAAAAATTCTCGGAAGACCCAATCACCTATAAAGAATAACAATCATGGGGGGACATTTTATTTTCGAGCATTACCTTACACCAGCTGAACGGGTATTTGAAAATAAAAACAAAAATCCCTGGGAAAAAACCGGAACACGCCCGAAACATCCCGAAACACTCCTGGAACACCTTCAGGACACCCGGAATTCCCCGGAATACCCCCCTGACGGGCCAGACCCAGACCCAAGCGGATGGCCCATGAGGGATTTACAATTTTTTAATAAATATCTTCTACCCAATTTGATGTCTACCGTGTTCGAGGAGTATTACTCATAAAATTCCCTTATTTTGATTTTGTCTTGTTTTCTTTGTTTTTGATATTTTGTCTTTGATTAAAAAATATATATATATTTTTTGTGTGTTAGTGTTTCATATTGATTTTTCAGGTAATCTTTGATTTCCAAAATTTATTACAGCCCTTGATTTCTCAAATGGCGTTTTTGATTTTCAAAATGACATAGAAATGGACGTGACAGCTTCCCAGTAGTGGGTGGTCAGCGATACTCAAGGCCAGGACACTCAAACGTATATCATGGCACAACAAGACAGAAAGGGTGTTCTTTCCGAGGAAGCTGCCTTAACAACCATCAGAACAGTCGCAAAGACTGTTAAACTAAAACAAAAATATTTATTCCGACGGAGGAACTACAGAACATCGC